CCTTTTATTCTTCTGCCCTTCTTAGCTGCTCATTTGAGAGCCCCATTTGGAGCATGCTGGCTTGAGAATCAACTTTCCCGCAATGTGGTAACAACTCGAGCTGTTTTGCGTCTCTTTCTCACTGCTACCTGGACCTCTGGATGTCTGTGACCCAGACTCAACCTGCCTGCCCGCTCTCCACCTGCTCTCCAAGGAAACCCACCTGCTGATCTAGTACTTCCTCCATATTCTGCCACTTCGCAGCCTCAAGTTAGATTTGATCTGCTTCAGTTTATAACCTGCAATATTCACAGTGTCACTCTCTCTCACCTTGTAAACCTCCTGTGTTCCTATCTGCACTGAAGTAGTACTCATTCCACCACCACAGTCCCTTCCCTACTTACTCACGAAGTCTGCTTTGTGGATCCAGCCAATCTCACATCATGACAAAACTTTAACCTTGTGAGATATAACAACATTACCTACTCTGATGTGACTAAATTTAGTAATCCTTTAGACCATGATGGAAGAGACTAACTTTATTATTAGAGTGTCTCTCCTAGACAGAGTTACTGCATTACAGTTTTACCCAAGAAACTCAATGTCAGGAGTCAGGACACAACTGTGAGTGAGTTCAGTAATATGGAAAAACAGAATAAGAATAAGCTTTATGAAAGTATTTCCAAAACATTGACTCAAGCAAGTATTTCTACTACATTTCCATAGAGTTAGGCTTCCAGTATCTGCAAGGAGGAAGACAACAAACATGCATGTACTGGTAAACAAGAAAGTTTTACTGCTATCCATGCTCTCTGTCAGCAGTACCACCACATGGAGGAGAAAAACAATCTGACAATGAATAAAGGGTTGATAAACTGTTGATAACTAGAGGTTAGAAGTTCTCCCTCGGCCACGCCAACTCGTGGAAAAGAGATCAGTGCCTATGCACATGCACACAACTGATAGAACATATAGGTTGAGTAAATAGAGGGAGGCAATGACAGTGTTATTGCTTAGATCTTAAGACATTTCGTAGACCTATTTGTCTCTCCAGTCGTACATTTTATTGCTTCATTTCTGCCTTAAACTAAACCCAACCACAAAGCAAATACTAAAAAAAGAATAATAGCCTGGTACTAATAGGAAACCTGAAGCAGGTTTGCTCATAATCATTCTTCCTGTTCATACTGGTCAGGGATTGTTTCATTTTAAGGCAACTTTAAAGTGAATGATTGGGGTGGGCAATAAGCACAAATAAGGACTAATTAATTTTGTGTCAGATCTATAATAAAGCCTAGGTTTGATTTAACATTTCTTATTCTTCAGCAAGTTTCCACCATTTTTCTTTCTTTCATTATGTTCCTTTTTATCCAGGTTTCACATCCACCAATTGGTGGTGCCTTCCCCCAGAATAGAAAGGCACCACTTGAAGAAATCCTATTAAAGGACAATGCTAGAGTGTCTCTCTGATTCCTAAGTGTCAATAAAAATTCTCCAATCTAGTTCAAAGCATACCACAACCTCCTTAAATTTGCATTACTCTCACACTGTTTTCATCTGCTGTAACATGAAAGTCTTGTGATCTTATACAAGAACACGGAACATTGTGTAACCAGGCCAGGTATTTGAGGCCATGCCAGCCTTACATGGTCCTGAGGGTCTGGGAATGTTACCCGGCAAACCAGCCATCCATACTTGAATATAGTTTTAAAAGCCATGATTCTAAACTGTTGGTTGTCTCACCCTTAATCATTAAATCACTCTTTTACATTCAGCCCTGGAAATAGTAAAGTAAGCATCAAATATGTATAAAAATTGATTGCATTTCATTGTGCTTGCTATCCTGGCTGGATTAGATATATATTTGGTAAGGGTTAATATAAGCTTTGATTAGGTAGAGTAGGATAGGTAGAGTTAGGTAGGGTTAGATGTGGTGAAGCTTTATTAAGCTGCAGCTGTTTGTTTTTTTATTTAGAAGAGATGCACATTTTGCAGCAGTTTCAGATTAGCATCTCTGAGAAATAACTTGGCTGACCAAATGTAGTTTAAGGAGCTGTTTTGCCGACACTACACTGTAATTTTTAATATTTTTCATCCACCTATAGATTTTGACAGTCAACCGTGTCACAGAGTGCTCAAACCCTTTAATTTAGCTGCGATGAAAAAAAAAATCATTTTCTTTGTATTAATATATTGTTTAAATCCAAGTTTTGTCCTGATTTTTCCTAGCACATTAAAAGCTGTAGTCCAAACAGGACAGCTGCTAAAAACATGTTAATTCATAGAATATGTTGTGTTACTGGAGATTAAACAGAAAATAAAATAAAGTGAACTCAAGCTTGAACATGTGCAGCAGCACTGATGGGGAACATTTTCTGCTGAATCATTACTTTTAGTTCTGTTACAAACTGTGTACTAGTGTTAGGGCTTTGGGGGTTCAGGCCCACTCAATATAGTAATTATGCCCACTCAGCTGAATTCTGCTGATACACTTGAACTATAAGTTACACTAATTTATACAATTTTGTAATGAAAAACATAAACACCCATATCTCCAAAAAGTGTAATGTAGTGTGAGCTTAGTTTAATTATTTGGTTCACTGTAGTTTAGTGATTTAGTGGGAAGTACTTCATGTGTCTTTGAAGCTAAAATGAGGTCATTCATCAGCTTGTGCAGCTAGTTTTAAAGCATGGTCCTACTGGAAAAATGCAAAACAAATGGAAATGCGGTGCTCACGGTAAACTGCTCAATGGTGAGTTCACTGATCCACTTTCTACATCCAGTGAGAATGTTTCTGCTGTCTCCTGTTTGTCTCTGCAATCGAAGATAGACATTTGTGCGCATTTCTAACTGTGGCTACATTTCTCTATGTGTGTACTATGTGTGTTTATGATTTTAATTATTCACCGAATGCCCCTCTGTCCAACTGATATGATCTGGTCCCAACCCTGATGTGTAGTGAGGTGTTTTCATTGCGTATTTTTGCTTTTTGTAAATGAACGGTTCTATAATCCTCACTCTAAGCTAATCGTGTGTATGCTATTAGCATTAGCCATGTTGCTAACCAACGGCAGCTACATGTAGCACAAATCAAACAGCGACAGAAAAACACTGACCAGTAAATCCTGTTTTTGAAGAGGAAAATAAAAAACTTAATTGTTAGCATTGGGCATGCTGACTACTGTGCCATAAGGTTAGCATACAGTAGAACAACTGGGATCCATTTAGGGATTGCTATTATAAATGGATGTCATGGATACTCTTATCCACACTCCTTATTGTAAACTAAACAGCATCAAAACGTAGTATGTAAAAGTAGATAAGACTTAATGGATGTTGAATTTTTAATTATGCTTCCAGGCTGTGAAAATGGCTATTTCTTCTATGTTCCTCATTCCATGTGGAAGATAGTCAAAAGATATCGATTGTATTGTATGGCAGAGTAGTCTGTGACTAATACATGGTTTGTTAATCCTCAAGCTGGATGTGGAACAAAATTGCACAATTTTGCACTGTCATCAAAACTAATAACTTTTTGTTCTGTTGGCAGAGGTCTTAGCACATGACTGGCTGTTCCTTCTTTCTGTTTGACAAAACTGCTGACCTTAAGAAAAATACAAACAGGAAAAGGTATTAATTTTCCACTATATTCATTTTCAAAGATGTGTTGTCATAGAGGAATAAGCAGATATTAATAGTAAAATAATTTGACAGTGAGAGTGATCTCAGAAGTAATTCTTTTCTTAGGAATGTTCAAAAGTGTCTTGATAATCGATGGTCAAACTTTAAATGCCAAGCAAAGGCTTCACTGCTTAATTTTGTCTACTACCTTATTTACTTTAGGTTACCCTGGACCAATCCTTTATGAGAGAATATCATCACACAATATGTGGCAGGATATGTAAAAAAATTAATAAAAAAATGTTAATTTGGATTCTTGCTGGTTAAAAAAGCAACCTTGTGAGATTTTTGTGTGACTTTGAATCCAGTTTCGGTAGTAATATTTTTGCTGACTGATTGAAAGTCTGCACAGGTGGAATTAACAATGGCTCAGTCCATTAAGCGTCCAAGTAAATAGCGTTTGAGAAAATCAGAACCTCACACAAAGGGGACTGTAGTCATGCGCTTTATCTGCTGTGAACAGTTCTAATGTGAGTACAAAACTGTGTTTTTATGTCGGGCTTGACTGGTGTGTGAAGTCATTGTTGTTTCAGAAAGGAGGCTCATCAAACTCTTAGTTTCAGTCTAATTTAATCTCCAAGTTGATTAAGTCTGGCATGGGTAACTCTCTGAGTCTTTAATTCCAGAAAAGCTGATCAGAGTTAATTCAAGTTTACCCTCAGATTAACAGGTTTCACCATGGCAATGGATAAATAAAGGGAAGAGACTCAGTTTCAGTCCAGCAGACCAGAAATATCACTGTCTATCACATGACATGTATCTATAAATAAATAAATAAATAAATAAATAAATAAATAAATAAGACAGGAGAGAAAAGAATGATTGGATCGGCTAAATTTTCATAAATACATAACACGGATATTTTTAAATCTAATTATTCAGCTCACGCAGAAAAATGCAGATTGAAAATAAATTTCAATAATATTAATCAAACAAATAAGACACTATAGACCTGTAATTTAATTTAAACCCAGTGAGACTTTTAGGTCATTTTCAGATGAAATGAGGTTCAAACTTAGACTTTTCAGACGTTGTGCCTAAATATTTCATAAATTTACTGACTTCATCCCTAACAGGTCGCGGCAGATGGCTGTCGCCTGTGAGCCTGGTTCTGTCGTAGGTTTCTTCCTGTTAAATGGGAGTTTCTCATTCAAACTATCACCAAGTGCTTTTATTAGGGTCTACTTATTGGTGGGTTCTTCTCTGTATCATTGTGGGGTGTTTATCTTACAATGTAAAGTGCCTTGAGTTTACTGTTGCTTTACTCACTTTAAACTAGATGAATTTTTGTTTTAAAATCTTAAAGTTATTTCAGCCTCATGTTCACTTAAATAATATTAAAGATAGTTTGACACACATTTCTCCATCAGTGTGACCGCTTACACCAAAACAAATAATTCTATCAACGATCGGTATATTTATGTGTTTAGATTTAACAGCCATATAAATGTAATTGCTATATATGTGGCTTAAGATGACTTAGAAAAAACACATTTTCAACACACTAAATAAATTTTACCCATGGCTTGATTAGATCACTGGAGTCTAATACCATACTGTAATTTTATTTAAACAGAGTAACAGAAGGCAAACCTATCAGAGAAACTGTCTAACAGCTGCCTTATTGTCCACAGAGACACAGTATTAGAAAGATGTAGAATATATATGTTATTCTGAGCTGAAAATAAACCCACGGTGTCCACTGATGACCATCCATGTCCTTTCATCAATGCCTGATTATAAAAGTGCTCATCTCAAACATAATAAGACACAATAACAAACTGCTATTTCATGTTTTCAGACACATGAGTCTGTACATATGTTCTGTTATGTGCTTTACACTGACCGTATAAATAAGGAAATTAAACTCTGGATTTCGTAAAGCTGTGTTTTCATGGAACCAGATGGATAAATGCGTACTCTGTGAATAGCATGCAAAGCAAATCAAGCACTCCCCAAATCAGTGTTCGCCCACGTGCCTGCATGTGTGCTGAAGTTTCCTGGACAAGTCTGGCAGAAAGTAAAAGGCTTGTTCTTCAAAGTGGATCATCATCAACTCAGATTTAATGCAAGTGACGATAACCAAGAAGAGTGCCTCAAAACACACCACAAACTGCAGTATGCTGAATGCATGAAGAACAAGAACAACAAGGCAATGGTCGCTAATGGAAATTGTCCAACATTACCCTGATGTCCATGAAAGTGAGACTGTACACCACGTGAACTTATCGTTCCAGCTCACAAACATACTACAATCACCCACACAATCACATTTCATCTGGCCAAAGGTATGTGTCCACTAAACATGCTGGGTAACAGAAGCTTCAGGAAAATGGCTGACACTCTGGATAAATGATATGTTATCTACTCATGCATTTATTTGTCCAAAGGGGCAATACTTGTGCTGCACAAAAAATGTTGGAGGGGAAGAGTGGAGCGATCTCAGTAATGGAGAGGATTAAACACCTAATTTGGCTGCAAATATCTTTTAACAGGAATGTAGCACAATGTAAAGGTGGAAGTAGTGTCTGTTGATTTAATATTGCATTAGCTTTTTGGTACAATTCATCTCAGGGGTAACAAACTACACCTCTTTCCTGGAACTCTGCTCTGTTACTTCCACTGAAAGTTATTGTTGCTGTTGTTTTTATCTTTAACTATTGACACTTTTGTAACTTCCACAATCTTACTGCTTTGTTTTGGCTAATCTGGTTGTGGCCTGATGTGATTTGGAATATTTAGCATTAAGCACAGCACAGGAAAATATATGCAATATCATAGCCATGTCAGTAGTTGGTATTGTGCCAAGTCAGTGCCGTTTGCACTGCTAAGTCAACATCAGTTTTTAGCAAAAGGCAGTAAGACAGCAGCAAGAACCTTTCCTGGTAGTCTTTCACATGACTTACTCGTTCAAAGTCATTTTAATGGACAGCCTGGCATTAGCTCGACTTTAGTGCGTGCAATGTCATTGTCAAATTCTCTGAAGAAGTTTATATAATATGCTTTATTGCTCTTAAAACATGGGTTAACTTGTACACAGACAGAAGACCACACTGACGACAAGATCATTGACAGTAAATAAAGACAGGAATGAATAGGTGCACATAAAGAAACAATGGATCAATCAGGGTGAGCTCTTCGTATGAATGAAGCACAGACTACTCCACACAGTTTAAGCAAAGCAACTGGAACAATGACAACCACAAAGAATGTTTATTATAATGTGGAAATATGCTGATGAGGGAACATTGTCTGCTATTTTTGATTATAAAAATAAACATGTCCCATGCTTTATAATCATAATATAGTCTTTAAAATATATGTTTTGCTATTAGTCACTATGTTACATTACTACTATAAATAATTACCATACAGATATGTCTTGCTTTGTCCTATTTACAAAATAGCATAGTGTTGGATAAATCTGAATACAAGTGATGCTTTAAAAGTGTTTCTTTCTTCTTTTTTTTAATGAATCATCTTATTATGTACATTTTCACTGTAAAATTATACATCTCCATACTGAATATCATTTTCAAAACATTAATATATTGCCATCATACCATTTCAGTTTTGCCTCTTTTTTCTACTTTAGAAGTGGAAAATGATCTATACAAATAGTATCTTTACCTTCAATGGTCAAAGTGTCTGCCCCTGAAAGTGTAATACGTAAAGGGAAACATGCAGTACAGTGAAGAAGAAAACACTGCTTATGGTTATGGAAATGACACATCAACAGGAAAAAAACTTTTAGAAGAAAGTGCTCATTAAAACCAAGACACCAGTGCCAATGGCCTTCATACTGAAGGTGAAACTCTCATACAAAATGCATATCACAGTATAGGTGTAATAAGTGCCACATTTGCTGTTACTGATGATTATTTATGTTATGAGGATAATGTACAACCACTCAGAGGTATATTTCCGTAATCAAAGATTGAATCTATTTAAAAAAATAATTGAATAAAAGAGATTATGTTTAAAGAAACACTTTGGTATAATTTAAGTTGTTTTTTTTTTTAGGTGTGCTTAAATTAAATGTAAATGCTAAAATATTGAACATTTGCAAGTTAGCTTTATGCAGCATGTTTACCGCTTGACATTCAGCATCCTTACAAGCAGTGTTGTCACAGATGTTTTCATAATTTACATTTATGTAAAAAAGAGCACACCCTCTTTCAGTTCTAAGATTTACTTATTAGTACATGATAAAAACAATCATCGGGTCCTTACCAGGTGATAAAATTAAGTAAATAAAACTCGGTGGTACTAAACCAAAAAATTTTAAGTTCAGTGTCGAGTTCCTGGGGGGATAAGTTAGCACTAGCACAAAACTTAAGGTAAATAGTTAACAACTCTTAATTTCGCAATGTATTTTGCCTTGCCAACAAACATGTTAATGTTTTGGCCTCGGTATCTTCATAAGGGTACTTGACACATGAAATATTAAAGTTTCTTTATTTATTCAAAAAATTTAAAAAAATTAAGCCAAATGCAGAAGCATCATGTGAAAAATTATGTACACCCTTCCTGCTTCTATAGAAACCACAAATGTAAGCAGCAGCTATGGGCTGCTAATTAGATGTACTTGGTAAACTGATCATCTGTTAAGCAAGTGTGAGCACCTCTGTAAAAGCAGATGTTCTGACAGTGCTCATCTGCAAGATTCAGGTTTGTGATCAAAGGAATCAGCATCGATTTTACAGAAGCAATTATTGCTACCCATCACTCTGGGAAAGGTTAAACGGCCATTTCCAAAGAATTTGAAGGCTATCATTCAACTATTCAAAAGTGGAAATCATTCAAGAAAGTTGCCAATCTGCCAAGTACTAGACATCCTAACAAATTCCCAGGTCACACTGTGCAATGCTCAGAGAAACTGCAAAAAAAACCCAAGAGCTACATCTCAGTTTTTACTGGGCTCAGTTAGCATGTTAAATTTTAAACTTTATGACAGTTCAATTATAAACAAACTAAACAAGTAAGTCTTGTTTGAAAGGTTACCAGGAGACTCTTCTCTCTAAAAAAACATGACAGCATTTGAACAGACCACAAGACCTCAGAAGTCTGTCTCTCCATAATTCACAGTGGTGAAAGCCCAAAACAACATATCAGCATAAACAGGACAGGTTTTGAAGCCACAGGAACTGGGAGTCATTGAGTCAACCATGAACTCATTTATCAAAATATTCTAGAGTCACATGTAAGGCCATCTGTCTGATGGCTAAATTGAGCTGTGCAACATGACACTGATCTCAAATACAGCAGCAAATCTACAGAATGTCTGAAAATGAAAAGAATCAAGGTGTTGCAATGGCCTAGTCAAAGTCCAAACCTCAATCGGATTCAAATGCAGTGCTGTGCATAAACAAATGTAAACTCCACTTTAAATAAGCAACTTTGCAAAGAAGTGTGGGCCAAAATTTCTCCACAACAATGGGATTGATGAATAAGTCAAACAGAAAAAAATCACTTCAAGTTATTCCTGTTAAAAGTGGTTCTGCAAGCTACTGATGCACAGGGTGTCTCTGGGTTTTTTTCAGACACTGCTTCTACAGTTTGGCTTAGTTTTTGTAAAAAGAAATAAAAAATAAAATAAAATAATGACATGGTGCACTGGATCATGTGTTGTTATTCATCTGAGGTTGTTTGCAGTTTATTTTAAGACCTTTTGTGGACCAGATGATTTCTTAAATCATGCAAACCATTAGATTTAAAACTGACTGATCAATCTTATTTTTACTCAAAACAGTAAGTTGCATTTCCTGTGTATTTTTGTTATTTAGCCCAATTGCCTCTGATAATTGGTAAACGGTTTCACAGCACTTTCTTTTAATAGCACATCCACTACACACGTTAGGCTGGCATAAATTCTAAAGGCTCTTGCTGTAATTTCCAGGAATAACAAGAGGATGAGACACAAAGAAGATTTCAGACAGGAAATGATGTGTTAGTTTTATTAAAATACATAGAAAACTACTTTATGTGTTCTTAAATATTTGCTAGATTGCACAATGTGTAACAGCACATAGAAAGCAAATTTGTTTATATTGTTTCTGAAAACTTAAATAAAAACAGGGGAATCTTTTAAAATTGATCAGCATTCACTTTTAGGAGATGAATTGTGAAAAAAAAAAATAGCGGCGTTAACTCTCTTGGAAACAGCGAATCAAACATTAAAAGATACAGTTCAACTTCAGAACTAGTTTCAGAGGTTGTGCAAAGTCCTAAGGATAAGCCTACTCACTTGCAGGTGGGTGTGTATAAACTATTGTTAACAATTGGTGAGGTGCAAGTGAGCTATGGATTAGAGGTGGCATAAAATACAGTCTGTGTTACTAAGTACATTGTGGGTATGCCTTCTCTGCAGCAGAATGAGGTAACAACACTCATTACTGTACCGTGAATAAGATTGTGACTTGAATCTATGCTACATTTTCTGCCCTGAGCAGGTCTGTTTCATACCTGCACCTTTATAGTGAGAGAAAGGGCATGTGGTTATCAGTATAGTTAAATATTTATACTTGTCTTTGAGTGCTTTTCATTTTCCAACACTGTCACTTACATTTTGACTCTTGTATCAGTATTTCACACTGTCAACATAGCTAGCAGAGACCAGTTTGCATTACAACAGAAAATTCAATAAACACAAACACCATCTAACACCATCTAACCAACCAGCCAACCCTTTGGACTACGTACTTTACAGAAGTTGCTATACTTGACGAGACTTCTGAAATATTTTTGTCCAAAGCATACATATATTTCTGATGTGTTATAATTTTAATAGTTCTCTTGTTTCAATACATTTCAAATATATTCTTCACCTTTTTTCTTCACAAAACTTTATATTATTTGCTAGGTAGACACAACTCAAATATACATTACATATAAAATATTATACTATAATCATTTATGTATATTGTGAATATTGATATGAGGTGATTAGCCCTGTATCATCCAGTCTGTGTAGGGTTCTTATCCCATTGTGCATTAGTTTGGTGTATCTTTCTACTTCATAATAAGATCCACGAGGCTACCTCAGGGCCTGTAAACATGTGATGGAACAGTTGCATTGCAATTTTTACTGAAGATGATTCATTGCACATCTCGTAAAAAAATGTAAATAATAAATAAATAAACAATGAATTTGGATAGAGTTGCCACCCACATTCGGGACTGTTCTGATTTCATCTTACTGCAAAGGCAAAGTTTTGATGGGTCGAGTGAGGGAGCTCATGTTATTGGCGTTGGAGGAAACTTGGGGGCTCACTGTTTTTGTCGGTAAGCTGCTTGAGTGCCCCATTGACTCTTCTGCTGCACGCAACAGCAAAGTGTAATTGATGGCAACTTCCTCAACTTTTCTCAACAGCTGCAGCCTTTGGGCTTCTGAACGAACCCCTCTGACCAGTTTGATGAAAGTCTGAGTTAGTTCACACAACACTTGAAAGCTAGCCGTGACAACAGCAAGCATGCGTGTTGGACTTTTTTCAACACTCGCCACTCTCCGACAAGATGCTCTGAATTCTTTGAAGCGCACAGCCAGCTCCTGTTTGTACTCTGTAATCCTCGAAGGTTGAAGGCGAGCCTCACCCTCAGCTTGTGGGGTGTTAGCACAGTGACGCAGGATAGCCAACAACTCATTAGCATCCAATTGAGCATTTAGAAAACCATCGGGCAAGCTAAACGTTTTCCCTTGTAAAGCCTGCACCCGAGCTAGGCTCCCCTCCAGTGTACCGCAGGCTCTCAGGTCAATCTCCTGCATCTGAGGTTCCTCCTCTTCCACCTCCTCTTCGTCCCCGCTGCAGTCCTCGGCATTAAGAACCTGGAGGGTTTTGCTTACGACAGGAAAGGTATGTGAGTCCAGCTCCATGCCTGGAAGGACCTGAAGGGGTATTGAGTATGAAAGTTCATCTTTCTCGCTGCTTTCGTCTGCAGCCTCACACTTCCGGTAGCAAAAACAGAATGAGCAGCATTTGTCTTTGTCATCACTGTCTTCGCTAGGTATGGTCAGCAACACCTCTCCAGTCCCTTCTTTGTTTTCACGCAGTAGTTCCTCTCCCTGAATGAAAAACACACCCTTTTTCCCTTTCCCCTCCTGGTGGGACTGAGTGTGGACTGGCTCTACTGGGGTGGGGAGCCTCAGCCCTGTGGCTCTCACTCTCTCCATCTCCTTCTCGAGACTTTTGGCTTTGGGTTTTACCTCAGCATACACAGGTGTGCTAGTGCTGTTGTCCAGTTCTCCAATGCTGTATCGCCTCTGAAGCTTCTTATATTGTGGCGCTCCCATGCAATCTGTTTGAGAAGTACAGGTGGGCAAGCAGGAGCCATGTTCTCCTCTTGGCTCTCTCGACTCAAGACTTGTAGATCGTATTCGTGTGGTTTTGATCTCCAAAGTCTGAGGTCTCCTCGTAGCACCTTGGGTTTGAGGGGCTTTGGAGACTGCAGGAGGGGTCTTCGAGACAGTTCTCTCTCTACCTCTGTTTTGAGTCTCCGTTGTAGAGCCAACCGGTGTGTCAGGTAGTCGCATCCCCCTACACATTCGCTTGCAGTCACAACTGCGTCGCTGCTCCCTGGAGATCCCTGGTGCCTTAAGGACTGGACTGGAACGGAGCTGGCAGGAACAAGGAGTTCCTGAAGGTACGGGTGAGGAACCTTGGGGCATAAATTCTCCCTGCGATGACTTTGGTTTCAGCAGCTCCTCTAAAAACTCTAGCTCATACTGGCGAACTTTCTGCAGCTGAGCCCTGCGCTCATCTGTTTCTCTTCGCATTCTCGCTGGAAATGTGGCTGAAAGAAGATTTCTAAAGCTCAGGAAGGGAGCACTGCGCTGGGACTTCCCCTTACCGCTGCTCTGTTTCTTCAAATCTCTGGCAGGGAGAGTGGAGACTTTATCTACAGAGTGACTAGGGGTTGTTGGATCATCTAAAATAGGTAAGGATTTCACTGGGCATTTCTGCGACTCAGGTTGTGATTTGTCCAGGGCACCCTCAGTTTTGCTTTCAACTGTTTCTTTTCTCTCCGCTTTTGGAGGCAAACGAGGGGAGTACTTGGTTTGTATTTGTGGGCTGGGTTTTGCCAAATTAGGTTCTGGTCCTATTTTCGCCGCATTTTCTTTGTTGTTAGCCAGCTGGAGACCTTTGGCTCGAAGGCGCTCATCATCTGTGGGAGATGAGGATTGAAACACGACTATTTTCTGAACCTGTGGGTCTTTTAGTCTCAGTTGAGATGTAGACTCTTGTTGTACTGGACAAGTACAGAAAAGGTCATCAACTGGCAGAAGTTCTGTAGAGGCTGAAGGCTTCATGGTCTCACTAGAGGCAGTCTCGGCATCTTGGCACATGTTAGAGGGGGAAATCTTGGCAGTGGCAGTTCTATCCACAGACAAGAGACTAGGTAAGGCTTTGTTTGCAGGGTCTGTATTGAGAGGTACTGCTGTCTTCCCCTTTATACCATCAGAGATATTTTCTCTCACTGTCTCCCCAGAAGAATTTACTAACTTTTGATCTTTGCTGACTTGCTCTGTGTGTGAAGCACCAGAAGCCTTAAGTTCCACAGGTGGTTTAGACGGGGGCTCTGGGGTGTTTGCTTTGGTGGGTGCTTTTAATTCCCCTTTCGATTCAATCTGAGTAGTTTCATGATTGCCCGCCTGTTCTGTCACAACACTGAGAACCGCAGAGTCCTGGCTTGGGCTGACTTTAAAGGGAACAGTCTTGCTCAGGATTACTTGCTTGGGTGGACAGCCAGCACGGATCTGACCCACGGAGAAGGCCCCAGTCCCTATGGTCTTTGCAGTGCAGCCAGGGATTGCCAGGGGAAAGTCACGGCGACAGAGGATCCGATCCTTGTTGATATGGTGAGCCAGCAGGTAGGCCTGGTTCTGGTTCTGTTTCATAGCCGACACCATCTCAGAAACGTCTGTCAATTCAGAAGAGTTGGTCTCATGGCCTGAGTCCAGTGATGACTCAGGTGTAATAGCAGCTAAGACAATCAGGCCTGAAGAGGAGAGCAACACAGTATAATGTTAGAATAACACACGAAATAAAAAAAAGAGAACATTTTCATAGTGTTCTGTGGAAACTGATATTTCCAGCTGACTGATAAAATTGTGATAATGAAACTGAAAATCAGTCGGGATCAAATCTATTGCCTCTCTTCAGATAATTTTATGCATCAATGGGTTCTCCACACAAGACACAAGAGTACTGTGGGTTGCGTGTGCACAGCTCTATGAGTGTAAGTGCCTCTATTTTAGGCAGATATAAAAATTTGGTTGGCTTGTTTTTTTTAAGCACACGACTTAAATAGGCAGCTACTGATTCCTTATTCATGCAAAATCTGCTATTTTTTAGATGACTGACAACATTATTTTAAGCTTAATTAAAATATCTTTCTAGTTGGATATTAATGAACTAAAATGATGTATTGCAAATGTATGGTAATACTGTTTACTGGCAGTACATAATCCATGGCCTGTTTTGTACATGTGTATTTTGAGAACAGTGGCATGACTGAGGTTGTTGACCTGCAGTCTGTGTTGGCTGTTGAGGGTGATGGGGGTAATCCTCAGAGGCAGCCAAAGCTTCAAGTGCCTGTAAGGTGGACACCAGAGCGTCATCAAGCTCCTGGGCATGATCTCGGACCGTTCTTGTGGCCACATTATCAATAAGTGTCACAGGCACATCTTCCTTTGCCTGGGACAGCTTTCCAGAGGCGACCGCGGTGCTGGCACTGGTACGAGCCTTCCTCCCTCTCTTTGGGTCATCCTCATCAGAACTGTTGTCCCTGAAGCCAGGTGGTGGGGCAGCAATGGCAGGTGGTGGTGGTTGCAGCTTCTCTCCACCGCCAACTGCCTCTTCCTCGTCCTCTTCTTCATTCCCAGGTGGTGGTGGTAGAGCTGTCAGGTCAACAGCTCCTCCATCTCGGGAGGCACAAGTACTGGAGCAGTGTTTCCCAGAGCTTCCACTGCTGTTCATTGCAGGTGAGAGACCCTCTGCCCTAAGCCTGGCTTTGCAGGAGTCACAGAAGTATCGTGACGTTTTCTGGGATTGACCCATTGTTTGTGCTCGGATTCTAAATCCAGCATTCTCCACTGCTGGGTTTTCTAAAACTCCGGCTATTTCCTCTGTACTTTGCTGGGTGGGATCTGACTTTGTGCGGGGCCGTCCGGGTGGCTCCTGTGAAATAAAGTTCTCATTGATGTCGAGTTCTGCTTCGGCATGCGTTTGGAGATCCTGAAATTGTTGTTGTTCTCGAAGGTGGACATGACACAGGCCTAGATGCTGAGGTTCTGCGGGAACCACGGCCCTTGAAGACCCTGACTCCCTGTGCGAGCTTTCCCTCTCGTCTCCTCGTCGCCCTCCACTTGGCAAGCTGGCTGCCCCAGAGCGTGGGTGTGCATGGTAGGAACTTCTGTAATCTGAGGATAGAATTGTCAGAGGAGTGGAGAGTTTGAGGAGTTAAAAACTAATGGGGACAGAGAAGATCCAGATGGAAAAGCAGGCGGCAGCTGGTGGTCACATGGGGATTATTTATTTCAAAAATGAAAATTGAACGTTGAAGTTTGTTTGAAGTTAGAAGGTTAGATTCAGTGGGATGTGATGATAGAATGGTACTGTTCTTCTTTGATGTAGACTAAAGCTTGATACAGCAGATGGAAGCAGATCTGTTCATGTCTGGACAGCAAATGTTTATGATTACAGCAAAAATACATTTCAGTTAATCAGTTTCAGTTAATATTTTGTGTAAAAGTGAAATATGGACTACTTTTTTTCCAAATGAGTCAAGATGGAGATGGGAAGAGAGACAGCAGAGGGCGCCATGGGATGGGATTTCCAGGATACCCTGGATAATCAGGTAATGATTTCAAGCAGCGTCCATCAATGTCCATGAAGACTGAACATAATGAAGACTGCCAATTTCCTGACATGCAGTGTCTAATACGAAACCGGAAGAAAGACACTTATACGACTCTGAATGTGTGATGTTGTTCAACTTAAACTATTAAGGAAACAATGTTGTATTCTGTAGTTTTAAATTAAATCTTTACTTGGGCGTGGGCATGTAGTTCAGCATCAACATGGCATTTTGCAAATGAACAACAGAGGTTAAAAGTGACATACCTGCCTTGGTCAGCTGCGACTGACCCGGGGTTCTAAAGTAGATTGTACGTTTAGGATCTACAAAAAGCTTGAAGTAACCAGAGATGAGGCACGCAAAGTTACTGGCATCAGGCCATTCCATGAGGAGAACCAGTGGCTGTAAGGGAATGTCACGAAAGAGAATTAGGAGACTTAATAGGGGACAAGCATAGACCTTATCAAATTTAACTGTTGACTAGTGTATACTAAACAATTGTAGTATTTCCGAAGTTAAGTTTTAAACTATTGTAATATGAAACTTTTGACACTTTGTAATGATACCTTGGCCTCATGGATTGTCACCTCCACACGAGCCACTCCCTGGCTCTCACGGTAGAGCTGGATCTTAGACACCCGACTGAACTCGGCCAAAACCGTTGTGAGGTTATTTTTCAGATCAATAACGTGACTGATGCCATGTCGAGGACCCACCAACAGGGTTGTAGCTGATTGTTTCTCCTCCTACAGAAGAACACAGCAACTTTACCATGATGGATGGATGGACATTTTACAGACGAATGACCCAAAAATATATTACCAGTCCAACAGTATGGAACAGTATTCCACCAAAAGGTGGAAGGTCATTGAGCACACGCATGTACTGCAGCTTTCCTTGCAGTGGAGGGACCTGTCAACAGAATGATAAAGAAGAATCTTTTAACAAAGACCAGTCCACCTTTAGTGCTCCATACAGCCTCTTAGGGGCACTCTTGAGCCACAGTTCTTTCTAATAAACTCTTATGCAACAGTTACATCTGTAAGGATGAAGAGCTTGTCGAAAGGAATGATTATCAAGCAGACATAAAGATTCTATACAATAAACTAAGATCCAGCAGAGGTTTTGGATTTGCATTAATAGTAATCAAGAATATGGAGCATTTGCATGCATATACATATAAAATCATCCAGCAAGATACAAGCTATTGCAGTCATTAAAATGGTTCAGATTTTTACTGATAAAATGTTTTATATGAAGAAACCTTGTTCCCCGATGGTGGTGGATGCTGGTACGTCTTCAGCAACTGAGACAGGGATTTGCACACGTTTTTCTCCTTTACTGTTGGAAGTAGAGTAAGTGGAAGGAAAGGCTCTAGACCCCACTCTTTTCTGTGAAAACACAGAGAAGGATAGCAGAAGTGTACACAAAAGACAAACAGAGTGGCGTGCAAGAGTACAAGGAAGATGTCATAACTGCAGGAACAAAGAAGTTTTCTTTCATCCTATTGGAAGATATAGTGAGCCTGGCTGACATCTTCTACCAGCCCTGGTTTGACATGGCTATCCAAAGTCTATTACAAGCACATTGAACCTGTTCTGCTTCTGTGGTTGTGATAGTCGAAGCTAATTACTTGCTAGGTCGAGGTTTCGAAGAGTAAGTGGGCAAGTTGAGGGAGAGATGTAATTTCACAAAGCAATGACTTTCTTTTTTTCATAATGACCTGCAGAAAATGATCTTTAAGTATTTGAGTTTTTAATACTGTTGGGATTAATTATTAATCATTTAGATATTGTTGAATGAACAAACGTCACTAAGGGACTCAGAATGGTTAATGAGGTTAAGAATGCAATGGATCAGGTTTTTTTCCCCCCCTCTATAATTTCTGAAAACGTCACTTTTTTGTGGACTTACTCGACATGCTTGAGGGAGATCTTCTGATTGGGCCTTGCAGAAGACACAGTGATGTAAATATGAAGTGCGGCCAATCGTAACGTGACGTCTGATTTCCAGTCCATGCCAAAACGCTCCTTGATGACATCGTTGCGACTCTGTGAGGACATGATGACACATGCTCTGTATAGTGCTCTTTCCAAATTGTTTTTAAAATGTATTATTGATTTGTTTCGATTTCCTCATATTCCCAAAGAACAACTGCAAGAAAACTGTTTGCTCTGGCTCAAACAGCACTTTGAGGAGATAGCAACTTCAAAAGTATCATGACTGTTGACATCTGTTTTAATATTCCTTTAATCCAATGCTTTACCTGTATATAAAGGTACTCAAATGCAGCGGGGTCCCTTCTTAGCAGATCTGCAGGGTCCTTGGGAAAGAAGCAAATGCGGAACAGACACTTCATCCCTTGGAAATAGGTTCTATGCACCACCTGTGGGAATACAATTATATCAACCACATACCAAATAACTCTGATTTTATTCACATATTGCAGTATCATTTTCATTTATTTCATATTTCATTTATTCATTTCAGTATCATTTAAGTGAAGAGAGAAGACTGATGCATCATGAATCAATCTGCACTATCTTGGCATTTCACGGTGAGTTCTGTTTATGTGTCATTTTAGTCAAGGTGTAGTACGGCAAAAATGTTTAATGATCAAAATCACCTGCTGAAGTTCAATACGGGGATCAAAATGGAAAAATAGTTATTTAAGTGACCTTAAATGTGGAATGGTTGTTGGTGCCAGATGGGTGATCTGAGTATTTCAGAAACTGATGATCTACTGCAGGGGTCTCAAACTCCAGTCCTTGAGGGCCGATTCCCTGAAACTTTTTTATGTGTCCCTTTTGCAACACAGAGAATAATCCAAAAAAAGAGAAAATATTCAGGAGGTCTGTGAGAAAAAGTGGTTTTTGATTGTTGGTTGTTGATGCCAGTGGTCAGGAGAGAATGGCCAGACTGCTTCCAGCTAATAGGAAGGCAACAGCATCTGACTTAACCAAGGTGTGCAGAAGAGCATCTCTGAATGAACAACATGTCAAACTTGTGTGGTCAAGAACAGGGAACTGCAACCAGAATTGATGAGAAGACAACTGGAAAAAGGCTACCAGGTCTGATGAATTTCAATTTTTGCTCAAACAATCGTGGGAACCTCTGGTATAGCAGTAGGCAATACTGCTTCTCAATAACAAGGGCTGTGTTTTAATCTGCTGGTTATCTGAAGATATTGGATTTATTGGTAGGGGAACATGTCCTATCAGTTTCATGTAAATGTAGTTATAAAGGGGCGTCTCTTTCTAGATGTCCTTTGAGGCAGCTACCCGAGATGATCTTTCAAAAACTTTTCAGTGACAACAACTTTTGGTGGGTAGGCTTTTGTTCTGTTATTATTTTTTAACACAGAAAATCACTTTTAACATAGCATGTATAAAATTTGAAGTGTTTTTAGACAAGTCTTCTTCTTTTTTTCATTCTAGGTTTCTTACATGTGTCAGTGGCTGGTTCTCCTGCAACAGATGCAACTTCTGATTCTGGTCCAGACCACCTGCCTCCAACACCAACGCAAAGTGCTCGATGTAGCGCAGTGAAAGGCGGTCCTGCAGGGAAGAGATCACATCCTGGAGGAAATGAGATGGAAGCAGATGAGTGACTGGGATACACTGCCTCAGTAAGAATACATTAAGCTACAAGAAATATGAACATTCATTGTACTGAAGCTACTTTTCACCTTGAACCCTTGAACCCCCCTCCCTCCATGTTTATGTGGTGCATTTTATCATTGATATCATTGTAGTGAGTATTTTCACTCAAATCTCTGTGCTTTGATATTATGTTTTGCCATTTTGTGCAGTAGAGAGCTTTTATAGATATTCTATATTCTGCACAGTGATTGCAACCGATTTAGGAAAATAATTCCAGCACGTTGGAGTGTGCAGGGAAAACATTTTACCTCATTGCAGATCAGTATCTATGAATGATGTAGAGCTTCTTGTATCATCTTTCTAAAATGCAGAGAGTAGCATCTAAGGGGACATTTATGACTTATCATTCCTCACTGCTGGCAATGCCTCAGGATAAGGTTTCATAATTTCTTCGGACTCTAAGTTGCACGGACATGAAAAAAGGAGTCTAATGTAGTGATGTTACTGCATTTTGGTAATGAATTTTTATATGGACTCTTATTAACAACTGCAAAAGAAAGCAAGTACACTAAATGCTTTGCTGCCCATCAAGAAGTTAGTTGACTTGTGCTGATGTTTTCCAATAGCTGTCCCTAAAAGATAAGCAGTTTTAATGCTATTGATCTGTGTGCTTTGCATTAAATGACGCTTGGGGGAAGCCACACTATCAAGTGAAGGAGCCACAGAATGCAGCCGAAAACACCGCAGGGAAGCTTCTTTAGTTGACAGATACTCTAATAGCCATACAAGTAGGCATCCTCTTGTACCATTGATTAAATCTGCGGTATTGTATTATTGATCTGAGCTTTCTTATTATGCTGAAATTCCATTTAATTAGGCTGACAGGAGAGAGCTTCCGCTATCTCTCCTTTAAAGTGCTTCTGAGTTTTCTTTTTTCTTTTCTCCCTCACCCTCCATGAGCAGAAGAGAGATTTGTAAAATCTAATAGAGTCCATTTAATGAGTCTGCTCGGAGATGTCACACTCATCTTAGAGGCTGACATAGAGACAGAAATGACCTCTGTCTGACTGAATTCATTTGTTGCTTTATGACCTTAATCACTTTAATGAGATTTTACATTCCAGAAACTGCCAGGAAAAAAGTTTCATAGAATTAAAGCTATTTTTTTTTCTCTGTGTTTTCTGAAACCTGTGATTAATTAGATAAACTTTGAGGGCTCTTAGCTTGACAGATTTGTGGTTAAACTGTTTATTTACTTATGGCAATTTGATTGTGTTGATAGTCTTTCTGTATTCTGATCCAAAATGTACTTTAACGATTTATTTGCTACAAAATGGATTTATGTCGACACCAAAAAAAAAAGAAAAGACGCAAAAACCAAAACACAAGATGGGTATGTATGATGAATGTACATCCATCATACATTTCCCTTTTAGTCTGACTTCAACTATATTCTCCAGCTTTTTTATAGCAAAACAATAAAGAGGGATGAGGGAACTGCAGTTTATCACCACGAATTATCACTTCACATCTTCATCTACTTCACGAGGAGCCATTTCAACCATAGTCAAATAAAATTAATGATTATAGGGGCACTAAGTCATTGCTGTAATCATGTGGTAATTCATGTTGCCCTTTCCCCTGTGCTCAGCTGTAGGCTGTACGTACCCGAACAGTGGTACGGCTATCGAACGTAAATGACTTGATCTGTCCATTCTCCAAGAACACCTTCAACACATTTGGTATGAGTAGCAAAGAGTCGTCCTTGAGCATTGTCTGAAAGAGAAAAAAGTCCTGTGTTTAGCCCAGGAAAGGCATGTGTGAGCTAGTTTTGCTGTAAAAAAAATCAACACAATCAGCTTTACTCGTTGGCGAAAGGCAATAATAAAAAGCACTGCAAAGGGAGGATCTAAGAAACAAAGGGGCCTTACGAGAACAATGGAGTGATTCTTAACTGAACTCCGGACAGCCTCAAAAGGAACCTCCAGAGCCTGCCTTACGATGCCGAACCCATGCGTTGTATCATGATCAAAGAAAGGCCTATTCACTTTTTCTGATCTACCCATTCAATATGTATGCCATGCAAAGAAAATTGGATGGTGGGAGTGGAAGCACTCACTGCAGAGTAGGGTGAGGGAAAGCATAAGAGGACAAGCACTATTCAAGGTTACTGCTTTGGACTTAAAGCACACATTAATAGAAAAGTTGCGATATGCAGTTCGCGTCTTCTCCTTTCCCCCCCCCTTTTTTTGCTAAAATGTGATGTGATACCACTCTTCCCTCAATATCATTTAAAAAAAAAAATGTTCAAGTTGTCATTGTGTAATTTCAAAGAGCTGCACTTGTGATCAAGAAAAAGAAGGTAGTGTAATGAGATGAAGTTTGAGTTGGTTTTACTGTGATAAGCCATAATGATTCTGCAGGAAACGGCCTCACAGCCCAAATAAAATCCTCCATAAAGCTCCCTCCCAAAATCCAGCTCTCTCTCTCTCTCTCTCTCTCTCTCTCTCTCTCTCTCTCTCTCTCTCTCTCTATGTGTCACGTATGTATATATGTAATAATTATATATATATAACATATAGATACACATACACACACATATATATATCTGTATGTATGTATATATATATATATATGTGTATGTATATATATGTATATGTATGTATATATATATGTATATATATGTATGTATATATATATATATATATATACATATATATGACAAGGTTGGTAAGAAAATTAGTCAGGCAGTGCTAGTCACGGCAGAGAAATGTGGATTTTACTGCAACAGTATCTGTCTCACAAAAAGCATTTAGTTTAAGCGGAGAGCTGTGTCCGCAGCAGATGCCCAAGCAGTCTGTTTTTGGAGAACTTAAGTATTCAAAAGACTCAACAAGCTGTTCCTCCGTGCAGATTGGAAGAAACTGAAGTCTGAGTTACAAGTGAACAGATCTTCCTCCATACTGCAGCACTAAAGCCAGGGTGCACTGGTTAAGCGACTCAGATAAACAGGTCTATCGCTTCCCATTACAAGCCAACCACCTTTGTCCTTGCTGGTTTACAGTGATTTGGAACCAGTTTGACATATGCAAAGTCTGCCCAGAGAGGCAAATTACAACTCAACACTATTATGTCATTGTCCCTCTTTTTTGCTGACACTGTAAGTCTATAGCAGATAGTAAAATCGATACTGAAAAAAGCCTTTATTCAAAGATCAGTGATTTGGTGGTCCGTGCACTAAACAATTATGTTCTCTGTCTTCTTTGATTAACTTAGCACAAAAGGAAAATAAAATTTTGTCCGATTTTTTATTTATTTATTGATTATCTGTTTCCCGCTATGTTTTTGCTTTCACCTTATTTAGTGCGTGGGCTAATGTTCCCTAAATGTGTTCTTGATTGACATGTTGCTGGGGACTGTACAGAAATGCTTTTATTACTGGAGCATTTTGTTGCAAATGGAGGTGTTATCTGTAGCGTGTGGATGTTGATTAGTAGAGTGAGATTTTGGGAGGTTTACCATATGCAGCTGAGTTGAAAGGTTATATTGTGATTGTTTACATGGCTTTGAAAAGAGGGAGGCTACAGGTTGTTTTTTTTTCAATGCCTCAGCCTCTTTCTCACTACACACACAAACAGGATGATTGAACATCCTAAAAGGATGGTGAGAGGATGCTTAAGGATTTCTGAAAGCATTTGTGGCTGCTGATCAAACCAAGAGAAATGCACAGGAGGTCTGTGTTTGCGCGCGTGTGCATGACGTAGAGACGCGACAAGTTGAACTTACTGAGTCCGGGTCGCTGATGGACACTTGCTCTGAGAAGCGCACTTTGGGCGGGTTTGTTCGCAGGCGGGCCTTTTTGGCTGCACTTATGAAGGCAGATTTAGGTGACTGAGGATAAGAAGAGAGTGGGAGAGGAACTCAGCTTAGAGGATGAGACATAAATGAAAGAAAAGCCCCCCCCCGACTGCTGGTGCTAAAGAGACATATTGGAGAGCAGGCTAATGCTACTGCAATGCGACAACTGGATAAGTGCAAACTTTTAACATTAGCCTTACCCCATTTTCAGTATTTAAAACTGGTTGTTTTCTTTAGCTAAATAAACTTTTTTACCACTTAGTATTATCAGTACATGGATAATGAGCTTTCATGCGCTTTCATAATGTTAGGGATTCACCTTCTAACAATGTCCAGTTTAGTCAGATGGTTAGTGGTGCTTTTCCTTTTTCTTTGTATTTATCTGTGCATACACAGAAGAGTCTTTATTTAATAAGGTCTCATGTAGGTGCTAATATGCTCACTTAGAGTTCTTCTGAGGGGTGACCAGAAAAAGAAATCACTCTAGCGTGTAAAGCATGGCAGCAAATACTAATGTGTGCCTGCACTGCATTGGTGTGTACTATTAGGAGGGAGTACTGTATAGATTCAGGCTGAAAGTGGAAGTGTTTATTATTGACTGATGAGAAGTAAGAGAAATCCTGAAGGACAGGAACAGGAAAGAAAGCGATTTTCCCAGCATACTACCTGATGGGGCTGCAGCACAGTGAGAACTATCGTGTCTTTGCAGCGTCTATGGAACAACAGAGAATGGAGTGGGTTAGAAAATGCCAAGGACTGCACGGTATTTGGAGGCCCCCAGTTTATAGCTGCCGTCTCCTTTGCCGTTCTTCAGCTGCAAAAGTGACTGACTCATCCGCAGGTTTGGGTTGATGTAATGCATCGCCAGCAATAAGAAACACTTTGTTCCTTTTCACACTCACCACTTTTACTCCCCTTCACCTGCGCTGCTGATCACCTGCCCCCGATGCCACCCCCTCCTCCCTCCTCCCTCCACCCCCCCTCCCTCCTGGGACAGTAAAGGATGTTACCTTACAAGGTCTATGACTCTCTCTCGGGGCGCGTCGCTCACCGTCTCCTCGTTAATAGCCAAGATCTGGTCTCCGGGAAGAAGCTTGCCAAAGGAGGGGCCGTCTGCAAATGAAACGGGATACCATATGCATGCAGCATAGAGAAACCTGAAATCTGAATGCTGGCTTTCTCACATACATGAACACTAACCAGCAGAGACGGAGCGTACAATGACAGGTCTCTGGCTGCCTGCAATGAAGCCGAAGCCTTGAGTCGGGTGGCGCTGGATGGTGACCTGTCGAGCGGAGGCAGGACTTAGGGTACCACTGTCCATACCATCCTGGCTCTCCTCTAACATTGCAGTGCTATATAGAACACAGATATTCAGATATAAAAAGGGGCAAGTGCACACAGAGACAGTGATGAATGTGCATTTTGTTTTGAGAAAAACTAGTGCGAAAAGAGCACCATGTACCTGCGTGCGTTCGTGTGTCCATCCTGGACCTTGGCCATCCCCTGAGAGGATGGGGCAGCATGGGACAGGTTTGCACTGCAAAGGCTGCTTTCTGTTTGGCAATCATTCACCTGCTCAAAAGAAGGGGAACAAAGGGGGGGGGGGGGGGTGAGAAACTGAAATAAAGTGTTTCCTGGTTTGACAGCAGCAAAAATACTATTTTGTTGTTGTTGTTTTTTTAATGTGCTGAGTTTATCCAAGCACATCTTGGAACACTGCTACAGGGAAAAATAAAATCATAAATGTGAAGCTGAAAAATGTAACACTTACAATCCCAGACATCTTCAACAGCTGACAAGTTGCATTTGGCTTTGGTTAAGGTTGTTTGTTGTACCGAGTGAGTGTGCGGGATGCAGGTAAAAATGTAGGCGCTAAAATATATTTGTTAAAAGTACCTGCCCTTTGAGGCACACCTTCAGGAAAGCTGCACTTATCAAGGAACAGTAACATAATGCACACACAGGATGAAACACATTAAGGTCTCTGATTCTGCCAGTTTCTGCAAGTGTGGACCAAACTACTCCCGTGAACCACACATGCTCTTTTGCAGATGCCTGTGTGGGAGGCAGCGAAAGCAAGATTACTGAAAGACTGAGTGTGAATGTAGCATGTGGGTTTCTGTGTTTGTAGCAGAAAAAATGGAAATTATTGTGCGAGGGATAGAGAGCCAGATATTTATGCTCATATCTGTGATCTAGGACTCTGATGACTGCTGGCTAAAGAGAGAGAGAGAGAGAGACGCTGATTGTAATGTTAATGCTGCAGATGGCCCAAAACAGAAAGAGCATGACAGCACTGCTCAGGATTATTATGCAGGGGTACTGTTGAGAGCAAATACCTTTCTGAGTGCCACAGGCAGAGAACAAACTGTCAGTAGTCACATTAGTCAATAGTCCAGATTCATATTCCTGTCACTTGTTGTTTCTGATAACAGTGGCTTATGAGGGAGCACGGCTCATTTGCAGTTCCATTGATGCATTACTGATCTCTACCTTGTGTCATGGTATCAGATGAGAGTAGATGTATCATAGATAGGCTTCATATTGTGCTCGGTCCATGACTAACAATCCATTACGCTGCATGTGCTTTGAATTTCAATTATGCTAATAATTTAAAAAGATTAGATTCATATAAAAAAATTTCTGTCTTCGACATTCAGCTGACTTATGAGGGATCATCCGTCTGTATCAAAGGTGCACGGCGGTGACAAATGACGCTGCACCAGCTGGTTCTGCCTCCAACAGAAGATTACCCATTTTTGATTGAGATCGGTTATTTTCTCATTTGAATTTGGCAGTGGATTCTGATGGTGCACTTCTTCCCTCAGTTATTCTTCTTTTCTCTGTCCCTCTAACATTTCACAGCTTCTTTCTTCACTTACCAGAAGAATACCCATTCTTATGAATCCTGACAGGCTGTTTCTCAGGTACGTGTGTCACTGCAAACACCTCCAGTGCAGTGAAAGGCAAGATCTTTGAACTAAGCAGGGGAACAATGGCCTGCACTTGTACATTTGTTGTAGAAGAGTCTATGCTGTAGCTAAAATTGCTCATTTCCAGCGATAACTTTATTATACAACTGCAGGTAACCGCTGTGAACTCAGGGACAAAGGAATACATTCTCTTCTATCTGGTTTTCAGCCGATGGCTTTGAGAATACCACACAGATTTTACAGCTTTAGATTCCTCACTTAATTCAGAGATTAGTTTTGGTATTCAAAAGTATTGAGGAAAAAAACAGGACAGAGCAGAAGCGGAGAGATGAAGGTAGCCAGCGGACCCTGAAGCTTGCACATCTGCAAAGATAAACAGCTATTCAGCAGAGGGGCCAACCTTTTAGAGAGGACACCGAGGAATTCTGTCAAGAAATGATCCCCAAGGGCATCGCCAGGCCTGTACGTTGCTATGACTACAGCTCTCAGTAGCTTGTTGAAGCTCGACCGGATGGAGGGATAGTGGGTGGATAAGAATAGCGATCTGGCCACTACAAGATATAGAAAGGGCTAGCTAGACGCTCTCTCATCACCCTGCAGTCACTGTGGCTAGATGCCAACACTTCCTCAGGCCCCTTGAGGTCAAGGCATCATATACCTGACCCTCCTCAGTGCCGCAGTCTGCAGCTGTCTCCTAGGCCTCAGGGTGTAGGAAAAATGATCTTTTTACTTATCATCTTTCCAGGTCTGCACCCTAACAGACCTATCAGTAGTTTAGAGAGAGACGCTGTATTTCATAATGCTTAGTAGTTCCGAAGTAATGTCAAAACTGGCAACACTACACCAACCAGTCAGGCAGTCTCTCAACATTCAGTGCAGTCCATCTACATTAGGATAAAATCTAAATTAAGTTTGTTGTGCCGTGTTCCTCTTTCTCTTTCTTTCAATTCAATATTTCAATTTGTATTTGTTGTTTTATCCATAATGTGTCTGTCCAGCTACCAGGTCTTGCCTGGCTTATATCAAACTTTTGCCCTTTTAGTATGAACCAATAAAAAGGTCTTAAAATCGATTTCAATAGAACACTCTACATGCACACTCTTTTTGGTCCTCATTAAAACAAAGCAGCAGAGTTTTATGCACTGTAGTTGACCTGTGGCTGTTTCTTAGTAAGATGAGAGAGGGGAGCTTTACAGTAGTCTGGGAAGATTGCAAGTTTGAGACTGGGAATTATAGCTGAGATACATGACATAAATATATATATATTTTCCATATATAATTACATAAATGAAGCACGTTCAAAAGCACTTTAAATGTTATGGGTTTTGAATAGCATTTTTACAATGGGAATGATGCAGCAATAGCTACCACGGGAACATTTACATTATGATAACCCAAATTACCATCAAAGAATATATGAAGGGCATTGTAGACATCATAAAGAGAAATGCTCCTGTTCAACGAAATTAGACATACCACTGAGAACTATCAAGGAGAGGGTAAATATGTTGTCTCTTTTGTAGCTGTCCACTTTTCTGTCCACTTAAAGTCCCTGGTGCCAACTTGCATTTGCTTAGTTTGCTCAGATGTTTCTGGTTTTTAACTTTCAGCTCAATTTATTGTCTGGATTGCTCCCAAACGGACGTTGTCTGTCCTTGTTAAACGCACTCAGCATTATCTAGGGCTAGGAAAGGATAATGCAGATACTCAATAACTAAATTCATTGTGCCTGTATGTCTGTCTAAGGACATATCCAGATCGGCCAATAGCATATTCTGGGAGCCTGAAAGATAAGTGGTGGAAAAGGGCAAATTTGGCTGAAATATAATTTTACATCACATGTCAGAACACGCAGACACAAAGGACATATATAAACTATACAACTTTGATAATGAAAGAAATGTCTTGCATGGCAACGTTATCAATTTGACTGTTTGTTGTGAATATTGCAGAACAATAGTCAAATAGCAAAACAGGCCACGGAGCTTTTTTCATGCATGAATCAATGAATGCAACATTTTTTCTGCTTGTGCAACGTTATTTAAACTGAGTATTAGTTTAGGCTATTCCCACATGCGGTAGTTGCGGCTTATCCTTTTGGATGCGGCATCTCAAATGTTGATTCTTAATTACAATTTAATTATTATATTAATTACAGAATCAAAGAGTCAATTTCAGCAACAATTGGCATGACACTTACCCATGGCACTTTGATTTATCTGGCTACTTACCGTTGATGCTTGAGGAATTTTCACTTATTTTACTGTTACACTAATTGTTAATCACTCTGATTAACTGAGTCTGCTAAACGCTTGGAATATAACTTATAATATGAATCAGAGATGGAATCACAATCAGAAACTTGGGAGTTGTGCAGCACTAATTGGAAAGTGAGGACTGTTGTAAGGAGCTGAGTGTTATTGGATCACTGCCTTGAGAAGTCAGACAATACGTGTGTAGTATCTCAGTGATTATTTGTGACTGATGGACAGGCCAAGCTTATGTTTTGTAGCTAAAGAATACATATTAGACTGTAAGGCATTAGCAATGGCATTTAGAGAAATTAGAGTTGGTTACACTGGTTTGGTTTATTAATAGGGTCCTTGCTAGCAAGCAGTAGTACATTAACAGAATGTTAATAAAGCACTGTAGGGCTGTAGAGTGGGATCATGTTAATAATCCATTACAATTTGCCTCACATCCACCAAGGCCTTCAAGGTCAACTTAAAGATTATTATTATCTAATACTGGTCAAAAATGGACAAACGGTGTAGAAACTGACTCTTACCAGCATTGTGTGTACTGTCAACATATAAAAAATACTATATAAAAACGTAAATGATCATGTCAGGGCCACTGGATTGGTCTCAAAGTCATATAATAATCATATACAGAGCTATTTAAAATTATGTTTCTTACTTCCATTGTTTTGTATTGTTTATGGGGATTGTAAATATCATATTATATTATTATGACTTTGCTATGTAACTATTTGAATACATGTCAGTTTTAATGCATGTTCACAAGTATAATTTGGTTTAGAAAACAAAATAAATATGCCATCAAAGCATTTTTTCAATTGATATATCTATTATTAAATATTTAAATGAATTGCGTAAACAATGACATGAATGTTACAAATTCACTATATCCACAAAAATAAAAATAGAATAAAAAAAAGAAAAAACACAATGTACAATACTGTTCTCTTAAAAGTAAATATGCTCAGAGAGAGTGAGCTGCCATAGTGGAGGTTTGCTCTCGCTGAGTGCTTCTTGTTATATGTTTGCTTTGGTCAAAGAAATTGAGATGTGATTCCAGTATAAGACAAAGTCAGGTCTGCCGATGGAGCCCTTTTCTATTCACAGTTGAGAGGAGGTTAACAGTGTTCACCTGTCACAGGTGTGAAAGAGTCTGGAGTCAGTGTGGTGAATGTTATGATGACTGCAACATCATCTGTGAAGAGAAGGGGGCACTAGGGGTGGACCTGCCTCTTCTGGTGTTCTTGGTTCAATGCCAGTCAAGCACAAGTCCCACTTAAAGACAGTGGTTCCTGATGCCATCATAAAGTCTGTCTGTGTCAGTTTAGACAGAAACATGCCCTCTGGAGGTCGTTTCTTTAGGCCTCCGGCAATGCTC